TTAAGTTCCATTCTTAATATAGTTAGGGGACCCATCCCCACTGAACAAATAAAAGGAAAAAGTGTAATCAATTTTTGTTTATTTGGGTGTGAGAGAAGGGAAGAGAGGTGCTTGGGAGAGTGTAGGTTTGGTAACAAAGAGGGTCAACCATTGTCGTAGCTGCCATAGGGCAAGTATGAGCCCTGCCCAACTCGGATGGGTCCAAAGAGGCCCTCGCCCAAGGCGGGCCCTCGCCTTAACAAGGCGGGGGTGGGTTGGGCCGGGCCAACAAAGGGCAAAAAAGAAAAAAAAAAAAAAAGGAAAAAATATTTGGTGCGGACCTAGCGAAATTGCTTCACATTTTATGGCCCAGACCTAATTTTTTAGAGCCTAGCCAAGGTTACCACCCCATTGCCAGCCCTGGGAGATTGTTGGGTGAGGGTTTAAAGATAGAGACATTAATTGTGTGTTGGCCGGGCGGCCCGGCCCTGCCATGTTGATCCAGCCCAAGCTAGTTTGTGCGGCCTTGAAAAACAAGGGCATGGGCCACAAAATGTGGTCCAAGGGCTGGGCCGGTACCGGATCAACACGTTCGAGAGCGGGCTTGGGCCATGACAATGCCGGCCTAGCCCAGCCCTCCACAATCATGTATTTTTCTTTGTGCTTTGTTAGGCAGGACCCTAACAGGGCTAAGGCCCCTTCAACCCATAGTGGCCTTGGTCCTGGTCCTGACCCGGGCCGGCCTGTTGCCAGCCCTTCTTGGGTGAGGGTTTGAGAGAGAGAGAGGAGGGACTTAATTGGGTGGACCTGTCAAAGATTAGGAGGGAATTTAATGTTAAAAATCCAGTCCGTTGGGAATTGGTATTATGGAAAGTTGCTAAACATTTATTGGGGTGCGGAGCTACTTTCATATGAAAGGGGCCATTTGGTGGCAACGTTTTTCATATAAGGATGAGGTTTCTGGGAGTCAACCAACTCATACTGTGCGGGCCCCACTTAAACCTATCTTAAAAATAATTTTTTAAATCAAAATTTTAAAGATTCATGATCTAGATTAAGATTAAAATGATTATAAATATAGAAAAAAAAATCAACATTCAAAATGTGATTTTTTTACAAATTTTTTTTACAACATGTAAAATTTTAAAATGTGACCGTTAGATCGACTTAGATTCAATCTGGGCCATTGGGCTCATATGTTCATATAGTTTAGTGGGCTAATCTCAGCCTTTTCCTATCTTATATATATATATATATATAT